ATAACAATAACAAAAACAAAATGAAGGGGATTAGACCAGGTTTTCACCAAAGTCCCTTTCAACTATAAAATGCTGTCATACTAAGATGCAGAGAAAGAACACTTCCAGGTCAGATGGGAAGCAGACTTTGTAAACTGTCTATTTATAACTATAATTATTGATAAAATATAATTTGTCACATCTGTGTTTCTTGGACACATTTTGGTGTCTTTTGTGCATGTAGCCCAGTTTAATTAAGGAAACATTTTATAAAAGTATGTAGCTAATGAATATGGTGTCTAAAAGCCCATTATATTAAACTCAAGTCATGTGTCGTTAACAGAGAAAATGGTGTTTTTAATGGACCCAATATTTCTAACCTGTTAATTTATGTTGAAGAGAAGATCTGATAATGGCTTTTAGAAGAGTCAAGGCCAAGAAGCATAGAATATTAATTTTTTTCATTCCCAGAACGGGAACAGACTGGTCTATTTATTACTATATTTACTCACATAATACTTCCCTCCCTCCTTTAGATATTTTGCTGCTAAATGGGCTGGGAGAAAGGGAAGGAGAATTATGGATCGATGTGGCCCTGCAGTGGAAGAGCACGCAACAGAGCAGAGAAAATAAATGAGGTTTCCTAGATAGTCTAGAATATCAGTTAGAATTAGTATTGAAAAGAGATCCTGGTGACTGTCAGGGGAAATCCCAATTTCAGAGAGTGCTGATGACCATGTAAATGTAATAGTCTTAGACTGTCCAATTCCAATTCATTGTGAATTGGTATTTGATGTATGGTGTTCAGTGCATTTCACTTTTCAACAAAAATCCAGATTTTTATCAGTGACTGCTAGAATTTTTTTCCATTAAGTTTTCAAATCAAATATAATGGAATTCCCTGCAGGCAGTAGCAGAAACACAAGCAAGCACCACACTTGTTTTTGGTTTTGCCTCAACCTGGGTCTCCAAGAAGCGTGTTCATTAAACAGGCACTTATTAACTACCTACAGTGTGCCAGGCAGGCGCTGGACTAGGTGCTAGACACAGAAACAAAAATGAAACTTGGCCTTTCCTTCAAAGAACTTACATTCTGTTTGGGGCGGGGGGAACAACACAAACACAGAATGGAATTCAAAATATGTACAAAATTAACAATAGTAATGATACCTAACATTTATAGGGTACTTACTGTCTCAGGCGTTGTACAGAGCTCTTTCCGATTGTCATCTCTTTTGATCCTCACAACAACCCTGGGAGGTAAGTACTGTTATTGACCCCATTTCACAGATGAGGAAACTGAGGCAAACAGAGGTTAAGTGATTTGCCACGTAGTTTCCAGGGGGAGGGGTCACTAGCAGGTAGGGGGATCGAGAAAGGCCATATGCCCTGTAGGAAGGAGCATTCAGCTGAGCTTTGAAGGAAACGAGATTCTAACAGGCAGAGGCTATAACCACATTGATTCGCCACTTTCAATTCACAGGGTGTTTTTCTGACAACAACAACCCTCTGAAGTAGGAAGTACAAGTTTTATCATTCTCTGCTTTACAGATGGGTCTGCCCACGAGATCAGATGAGATAATATTTGTAAAGTACTTTGCAAACCTTAAAACATTATATATAAATCACACAGCTAGTAAGTGGCTGGAGTGGGGCTTGTATTTATCCACTAGACCGGACTCATGAAGGGAACTCAAGTGCAAAAGAGGAGGGCAATGATGTGAGCATGGACAGAGATGGGAAAATAGACCAGTGATTTCATTAACATAGGGAATGGGGAAACACTCATCTACCCTTTCCCCACGATTGTAGTTTTAAACAGTTACTTAGAGCAAAAGTGTCATAAAAGTACAATGAAACATAGATAATGTCAATTTGTAATAGTTTTTAAGTCAACATGCAGTCTTCCCACATTTAGAGGCCTCTGTTTCTGTTTGAGCATGACCAATATGTGTCAGAGTCAGAACCTGAACCCAGATGTTCTTGACGGTGAGCCTGGCTTTCTATCCACTATACCAGGCTGCCTCTGTGTTCATAGGATGATAAAATTTAGATATAGAAAGGAGCTTTAATGGTCATCTTGTGCAACCCCATTATCTTATTATCTTACAGATAGGGAAATCTACATCCAGAGAAACTTAGCATCTGCCCAGTATTTAACTGATAGTAAGGAGCACAGCTAGAGTTCAAATCTTTCAGCTGTGAATCCTGGGCTCTTTCGTCTCTATCCTGCTGCTCTCTCTCTCTCTCTCTCTCTCTCTCTCTCTCTCTCTCTCTCTCTCTCTCTCTCTCTCTCTCTCTCTCTCTCTCTCTCTCTCTCATAAAAAGTGTAACACAAATGTTTCATCACTAGATGGCGGAACATAACAAAAGAAACTTTGATAAGTGAAAAGGTTTTTTAAAAAAAAATTCAACTCAACCCCTAAAGCAACATCCACCTTAAAAAATAGATAACTAAAGTCAATTTTTTTCTTTCCTGAGAGTTGTTGGGAAATGCACATCTTTTTTTTTTTAACATGCTTTATGATGTCCAGGAAATACTTTCAAAGGATCCCAAAGTGGTCATGATTTTATCCTATTATCAAACAGATTGAAAAATGGAGACTTTTGAAGGACATGGCATGATATGAAAGGCGAACTTTGATGGGAGAGTTTATATATGGATCACAGAAGTGAAAAATCAGAACTAGATATAAAAGAGACCTTAGAGGTCATAGTGTCTAATTCCTTCATTTTACATATGAGGAAACTGAGGCCCAGAGAAGTTGTGACTTGCCTAGGTTCACACAGATAGTAAATGAGCAGCTGTGTAGTTTAATGGAACAGTGAATTTCAGGTCAGAAGACTCCTGCTTCAGGCCTAGTTCTAACACTTAGAAGCATTATATCATGCATTTAGAGCTGATTAGGATTTTAGAAGCCATCTAGTCTTCACCACCCCTTTTATGACTGAGGAAACAGAAATCCAGAGAGGTTAAGTGGCCTAAGGTTACACAGGTTGTAATGGACAGAACCAGTACTTTTTAATATTAATTTTTTTATCAACATAAATCCACTGTTTCTCCCTACCTCCTCTCCACCCCTACCAGTTAGAAAGAAAAACAAAATCCCTACTAACACTTGCATTGTCAAGCAATGACCTTGTTAAGATGTGTCTGTGTGTGTGCACGTGTATGCGTTGTTTGCCTTTACAATATTCTTGTTATTTTATAAGTTGTTCTCTTGATTCTGCCCACTTCACTTTGCATCGTTTCATACAGGTCTTCCCAGGTTTCTCTGAAACTATCCCCTTCATTATTTTTTTTTTTTAGGCAGTTGGAGTTAAGTGACTTGCCCAGTGTCACACAGCTAGTAAGTGTCAGGTGTCTGATCTGAGGCCAGATTTGCCCTTCATCGTTTCTTATAGCACAATAGTATTCCGTCACATTCATATAACATAACTTGTTCAGTCTTTCCCCAGTTGATAGATCCCCCTCCCAGTTTCCAATTCTTTGCCGACATAAGAAGAGCTACTCTAAACGTATTTGTACATAGCAGTTTTTTACTCTTTCTTTGATCTTTTTTGAGAGGTATAATAGTGGTATTAATGAGTCAAAGGGTATGGAGAGTTTAATAGTTTGGGGGGGGGGCATAGTTCCAAATTGCTTTCCACAATGGCTAGATCAGTTCACAATTCTACCCAAAGGTCATTAACATACCTGTTTTTCCACTGTCCCTCTAGCATTTGTCAATTCCTTTCTTTGGTCAGTTTTGCCAATTTAATGGTTGTGAAGTAGGATCTGAGTTATTTTAATTTTATTTCTCTAATTTCTAGTGATTTAGAGCATTTTTATGTGGCTATTCATAGCCTGGATTTCTCCCTATGAAAATTGCCTGTTCATGTCAGTTTCACAGGTAAACACATAGGTAACACTATTTGTTGGTCAGGAGAACACAGGAGGGCTCCTAACACTGACAGGTGTTCTAGCACAGGTTCACTTTTGATCTGGTCAGACAGGAAGATGGCTTCAGAAGGGTTAAATAAACTTACTTTATTCTAGTCTCGTCTTCTCAAAAGGGTTGCTGATAATGGGAGCACCAACTTCTACAGCATTCCCTAATCACATTTCTCGCAGGGGCAGGTGAGAATAGGAGTACAACTCCTTCAAGATCCCCTAAGCCTTGATGGGGGCCAATCAAGGCAGGTACATGCATTCCTATATGCATTACCCAAATCCAGAAATAGGTTCCCCCACTCACTGACCAGTGCCCATTTGCTTTATAGGGCAACAGACGAAGAAGACATATTGCCAACAATAGCCTCACAGGTTAACTTTAGCAGTATCATCATGACCTAGCACAGTTCAGGCGTACATTATGTCATCCCTATATCTCATTGTGCAAGTGTGGTGGAGATGTTTTCAACAATAATTCATGGGAATTATTGTCTGTTTTGGCCATGGATCCTGGAACTATTATCTAAAAGGGAATAACACTCCTTCTTACAACACACTAAAATTCACCTTACTTACAATGGCCTTTCACCATTTATCATTTGGTGACTGGCTGTTATTCTTATAAATTTGAATCAATTCTCTATATATCTGAGAAATGAGACCTTTATCAGAGAAACTTGCTGCAAAGAATTTTTTTCCCACCTACTTCTCTTCTAATTTTAGCTGCATTGACAAAACCAGAATTTTAACCCATGAGAAAATTGCTTAAACTCTCTGAACCTATTTCCTCATCTGTAAAAATGTATGTAATAATATTTGTACTATTGCAAATAGCATGTTTTTTTAAGAAAAGCACTTTTTAAAAAAAACAAAAAAAAGAAAAAAAAGCACTTTTTAAGCTGTAAATCAAACTATTGTTAAATAATATAAATGGATGAGTTTGATAGAGAGGATGTTATGAAAGAGTTATCCCTAGATTAAAAGGCTTAAAGACAAGAATATTTTCAAAACATATAATAATTTTATAATTTTTATTAAATCTTGATATTATTCTTGCATGGAAATCTGACTCCTTATTCAATTGGAGCTGCTATGCAATGTCAAAAACCTCACCACACTGACATTTTGCTGACTGTACTCATTGGCTCCCCACGTATCTGAAAAATAATATTGAGAATCAGAAAAATTGGCATTATTAAAAGTCACCAAATTGGGAAATATCCCTCTTCCAGATGATACTTCTTCAACACGTATATGTTTCTTCCTCCTTTCTTACCACCTCACCCATCTGATGAGTGGTTATCTATTTGGCATCTCGATTCTGTATCCTTACTATGGTATGAATGTGATTCTATGGTAAATGTCTGAATTATTTGTTTGTAGTGGAACCACACATTACTATCAGAAAGTATAAGCTGACAGAGATGAATATGGATAAAGATCTACCTTAAACATGACATATGCCATCTGTCAAGTATGCCATTTACTGATACAATATAAGAATAGGTGAACTAGAAGAAACACAAACACACCCTGTTTCTCAGAATGGATGCATTCCTAACAAAGTTGTCTATGAAGTGATTATAATTTTCTCAGTTGCCTTCATTATTAAATTTTATATTCCTTGAAATGACCAAGAAGAGGTGAGGGGGAACAATACTGATAAAAACTTAGAATTCCACAGTACTTTAAAGTCTTCATCAGTTTCCTATAGCCCAGTGAGATAAGTAATACAAATATTATTATCTCTACTTTATAGATGAAGATATTGAGTATCAGAACTTGCCCAAGGCCATATAGGTAGTATCAGAGCCAAATCTCTCTTCATTATAAGTCTGTTACCCTGACCATACTACTTCTAATGATGATGTTGTAAATTTAGCATGAATAATCTGAGTTGAAAAGTCTTAATGAGGAAAATTTCAAAATAGTAGCTAGCTCCCTGGTATGTTAAACATTATGGGACAACTTTAATGTCATTCTTGTTAGTAGATGTGGTCTCCTCCTACAGGTTCATTTTTATTTATTAGAATTTTTCCAACTTTGTGATCTTCCTTAACTGTCTACTATATCCCTGCTCGAAATTATTCTGTGAACTCCCTATAAATAGGGGTGACAGTATAGTATAGATAACAACTCACCAAATTTCCCATGCGTAATCAGCAATCCTTTTAAATTCATACTTAAGTCTCCAAATAACTGTGTGGTTTCTCTCTGTTTTGTTTTTTAGTTTTACCTACTTTAATCTTAAAATGGCTATATGAAAATGAGCTGAGGAGCCATCATGCCCTGTGGCACTAAGTTTTCAGTGTGTTCCTCCATCTCATTTTGTATTCTAGAAACTATTTCTTCGTATTCATAATTTTCAAATTTTAAGTAAATAAAAGTTCTTTCTCTTCACTCTTCAAACCATGAAACCGTTATTTACATACAAATGAGGCATCATCCTGCATCTTTTACAAGCTGATTTAAGTATTTAATTCACGTCACAGTTTATTTTCTGTCTAAAACTGCTCAAACCCCACTTAAAAGCTGTTTCTTCATGCACATATTTTAGCTGCTTTTATTAAACCAAAATTCTTTTCCTATGCCTTTTATGCATCAAAATGTTCACCTGTAACAAAAGCTGTAGTTTATATCCTTTACCAATTGGTTAAACTTTTTTCCTTTATACAAAAGTACTTTTCCTACCCTTTTTAGCACTAAACGTTCTTCATATGAAAAGTGCCTGAACATACTTTGTATTAACATCAGCATGCTTGGGGGTACCTAAATCCACACTCGCAGATGCCATAATTTTCTTCCGTTGTTTTCTTGTTTAAGTGTCTAACAGTAGTGTGGTCCTACATTTGCCAATCTCTAATATAACACATGCTATGTTGTTATTGTTGTTGTTTGCTGATGTCAACTCTCTGTGCTCCCATTTAGGGTTTTCTTGGCAGAGATTCTGGAGTAGTTTACCATTTCGGAAATCTTTTCCAGGTCATTTTACAAATGAGAAAACTGAGGCAAACAGGGTTAAGTGCCCTGCCCAGGGTCACACAGCTGCTAAGTGACTGAGATCAGATTTGAACTCAGGTCTTCCTGACCCCTTGTATTCACATATCTAGCTGCCCCACACATGATACATTCCAAGCAAAAAATTCCAAAAGTTAAGGGCTTGAGGCAATATAAAATGCCTAATGGCCTCGTCTGTCAGTTCTCCTGAGTTCAAAATCTTGTATCTCAACTTCCCTTAGAACAAGGGAATCCTCTAGAGCCTAGAGTGTGAGTGTTCTCTTAACTTTTACTATTTTAATTAAAACTACCCAGTGTTACCCTATGCTGAGACTCATTTAAATTCCAGGAATTTTGAGGTGGGGTAGTCAGCAGATCAGCCCTGACCTACCTGGATGTCCAGTGTTATGCTGCATTATCTCTGTTATATTGTATGCTGCATTCTTGTGGCTCTCTTTCTCCAAGTCAGTAATCATTTTGCCCTGGTAAGAACCCATCTGGAATGTCATATTCATCTCAATTTTTAGGAAGAACATTTAAGAATCTCTAGAGAGGATTATCATCCTCCAGAATGGTGAAGGACCTCCTTATATTCATGCCATGTTATGATGGTTTGAAGAAACTGGGAGCATTTAGCCTGGTGAAGATACAGGGAATGTATGTAGACCACTAGGTAGAATAGTGGATAAGGCATTGGACTTGGCATTAGAAAGATCTGAGTGTGAATCCCATATGACCCTGAGCAAGTCATTTAATATCTCTCTGCCTCAGTTTCCTCATCTGCAAAATGGGAATAATAATAATAGCATCTACCTCCCAGGGTGATTATGAGTTTCAAATGAAATAACACAGGTGAAGCACTTTGCAAACCTTAAAAAGATGCTATGCTAGCTATTATTGTTACTATTATGATAGCTGTCTTCAAATGTGTGTGAAGGTCAGCTGTATGAAAGAGACACTAGTCTTGTTCTTGGCCTCAGAGGGCAGAAGAAGAAGCAGTAGATGTGGGTCTAGAGAGGCAAATTTTGGCTTGAAGTAAGGAAAAACTTTCTGAGAATCAGAGCTCTTCAAACAAAGCAGCTTCCCCCAGAGTGACGATACTTGGCTGTGTAAATGGAATTCTTTTCTTCAGCAATAGGTTAGACCAGGTGGACTCTGAGATAACTTCCAGTTCTGAAAATCTATGCCTTTTTCATACTGTTTTTTAAATTTTTTCTTCAGAATGAAAAGAGAAACTTGAAAGTTCATAACAGGACATCTCCTAGGTTTCCCCTAATGCATACCTGGCAGGTAAAACCTAACATTGACAAAAATTTCCTTTTTCTAAAAAACAATATTGTTTTAAGAACAATTTTGAGTGAATAAGTCATTTTGACTATTATAATACCCAGATTAACCACAAAGGTCCTATGAAGATGCTATCTGCATGCAGAGACAGAACTGATATACAGAAATATGTATAGAATAATTTTATATATGTACATATTTGTGTCTAATGCTAGCTGTCTTAGGGTTGGGGGGAGGGAAGAAAAAAATAAAATTACATCATAACTTCATTATATTTAAAAGGAAGAGCAAGTTGTACGTAAATAGACTTGCAGTTTTATTTCTTAAGTTCAGAATAAAACAAATAATTTTCTTTTCAGAAAAATTCCAGTGATAAAGGTTACATGACCTTCCTTGGTAACTCCTAGAGCAAACAGCCTTCTATCAGGACCTAATGTTGCAGCTCGGTTTAATGTCTCCTCTCCTGTCATTAGTGGGACAATCAGATTTGGTTTTGGAAATGCAAATTATGCATAGTGATTGATGGGATTCATATACTATAATTAGAGTGTATGTTGAGAGCATAGAATCACTATGTGCTCAGATAGGGAGTTGGGTGGGCAAGCAGCTGTCCATGAAGCTCAGTGTGTCTGTTGAGGACTTCGTTGCACAGAATAGGTATTTAATAAATGCTTGTTAAATGCAAACATCTGTAAACATTTTCTGCAACATTTGTGAACTTAGATTTTTAGAACCTAGAAGTTGAACACATACTACTCTAGCCTTCTGATGAACTCATACTTATTTAAAGGGTCTCAGCTTGTGGTCTGAGATTCCAAGTCACTAACTGGACATATGTGTCTGAATATATTCCTAAATAGTAAGATTGAAAGACTGTCACCTATCAGGGCCAACTTTTCTGGGATTTTCCTGCCATGGTAGGGAAACTAAGTGATGCAGTGGATAGAGTACCTGGCCGGGTGTTAGGAAGACTTGAGTTCAACTCCAGCCTTATACACTTCCTTGCTGTGTGACCCCAGGCAAGTCACTTAACTCTGTTTGCCTCAGTTTCCTCATCTATAAAATGAGCTAGAGAAGGAAATAGCAAACCAGTCCAGCATTTTTGCCCAGAAAACCCCACATGGGGTCACAAAGAGTTAAACATGACTGAAATGGTTGGACAACAATGACAAAGGGAACCAGGGGAAGGAAACGGAATAAGTATATAGCACGTGCTGTGTGCCAGTTACTGTGCTTTACAAATATTATCTCCTTTGAGCCTTACAACTGCCCTGTGAGGTAGGTGCTGTTATTATTCTCCATTTTTACAGTTGAGGAAACTGAGGCAAACAGCAGTTAAATGACTTTCCCATGTTCACACATCTAGTAAGTTCTGAAACCAGATTTGAACTCTTTTTCCTGATTCCAGTCCCAGAACTCCCTCCACTAAGCCACATAGCTGCCTACCACGTGTCATTTGGATAATGGCTGTATACATACTGTATATTCTATAGGAACAAGGAGTTACTTTTCATCCATTTTTTTTCAGGTATGTATTTGTTGCATTATGGATAGATTGTCAGGCTTGGAGTCATGAAGACATTCAAGTCCTGTCTCTGATAATTACTAGATCAAGTCACTTAACACCCTAGCTCTTAAATACACAGTTGGGTGGTGATCTGCATTGGTGGAGGGACTTCCCACATTGGGAATTCCCTATACTGCAGAGAGCTCCTCTGCGGATTTGAGTAATTGGGAATGTAATTTTGTGAAGAATTTAAACTATTCTTTCCCAAAAGTTTCATTTAGCTGTTTAGTATAAAATGTAACCCTCTTTGCCATTCAGCTCTAACATCCCATGATCTTATGATATTTTAATGAAATCTCTGAGAGTGACATATACACAATACTTAGTAAATCCTAGTCCCAGGCATCACTGGTATAAGAGAAAGAAGACCACTCCTAAAAATGGGAAACCCAGGTTCTAGTGCTGCCATTTAGGCTATTCATCTGTTTTTTAACCTCTCTGGGCCTGAGTCTTCTCATCTGGAAAATGAAGGGGTTAAATCAGACAATCAGTCCCTCCCAGCTCTGTGACTCTGTGATTCAAAATCTGCTCTGTAAGCACAGAGCCCAGGGTAAAGCCTTTGCAATCCTTTCCAGCAGGTGATAATTGTACTTCTCTCTCCTTTCATCATCCAAATACATCTAGTTTTTAACTCAGGTTTGAGGCTGCAAAGGCAACACACAGAAGCTCTGCCCATTCCCATGGAGAAGGCCATCCTTAGTTCTTTGGAAGAAGCTGTCGTGAGAATGACAACAGGATGGACTGGAAGGAGATTTGAGTTTGGAGTAGGAGGACATGGTTCAAATCTTGGCCTTGCTGTTTACTACCTGGGGGATGTGGGGAGATGGCAATTAATATGTCTTGTTCTGTAGAATGGGGAGAATTGAACTAGGTCTGTAACAGTCCCTAGAGCCTAAAATCCATGATGTAGATCTGGCTAGGTAATTGGCAGTACTACAGGACTTTCTTTGACACAGTTTGAGACCTGATCAATGAAACATATTTGCCCAGTGGGGAATAAGCAACTGTTTTTGGCAATACCCACCCAAAAGGAACAGTATATTTAAGTAGTATTGAGGGGAATCTGTTGTTCTTTTTTGTATCCCCAATGTCTGGCACGCAGCTGGCACTTAATAAATGCTTATTGAATTAACCCATTTCTTTCTCTTTTTTCCCTCCCTCTTCCCCTTTGCCATTTACCTTGTGGGAGGCAGTTTGGTGAAGCAAGCTGGGAGCACCCTTTCCCTTATGCCATGCTAATATCTAAACATCTGTGATGGTGGAAATAAGTCTAGTTAAGTGTTAGACGCTGCTAATATTCATTTCTCCCTCTCCTCAACTCAGCCAATTGTTCTACTCACTTTCCCCTGTCAAGCTGTAGTCTATGCCCAAGTGATCATTTTATTGTTGTTGTTCAGTAATTTCAGTCATGTCCAATTCTTCATAACCCCATTTGGGGTTTTCTTGGCGAAGATACTGGAGTAGTTTACTACTTCCTTCTCCAGCTCATTTTACACATGAGGAAACTGAGGCAGACAGGGTAAAGTGACTTGCTCGGGGTCATACAGCTAGGAAGTATCTGAGGCTGGATTTGAACTCAGTAAGATGAGTCTTCCTGACTCCAGGCCTGACACTCTATCCACTGCACCCCCTAGCTGCCTCTAAGTAATGATTAGCTTCTACTCAATCAAGAAATCTGTAACTTCTAGAGCTGTGACAGGAGCTACTCCTGCTGTCAAACCCAGCTTAATCCTAGCACATAGCCTTTTGGTCTCTCCAGTTTTTTTCTGACTGGCTCCCCCTCTTCCTTGGTGAATACCCTCTTGCCCTTAGATCCCACCGCTGCCTGACCCAGACATATTGTGCTCATCTCTCAGATATCTGTCTGCTTTCCTCTAGTCAATAGTCCTGACTGCTCTGGCAATGTGAATACTAATCTGGACTGGTCTCTGCTTCTAACCCTCCTTGACACTTCTTAGGAAGTCTACACCATATGTTGCCAGGTTGTGGGTATTTGACAGCTCCATGTGTCATCAGATTGACAGCTGAGACTAGAAAATCCCAGGAGTCTGGAGAAAAAGAATCAAAGTCAGTAAGATACTTTCACACATGCCAGGCTTTCCCCCTGAAGTAATAGCCCATCTTTTTTAGCAACAATTTTCTTCCACTAAGGAAGCATGAAACACCATGATCTCTGAAGAATTAAAATCATAGGAATGCCCAAAGGGAACTGTGTAGACCTAAATTGGTATAAATAGGTCTTAACACATAAGTGACAAACTGCATACAAGAAACATCCTAAAAGATACCATCCAAGAGATGAATGATTGGAGGGGTGGCTAGGTGGCGCAGTGGATAGAGCACCAGCCCTGAAGTCAGGAGGACCTGAGTTCAAATCTGGCGTCAGACCAACCACTTGACACTTACTAGCTGTGTGACCCTGGGCAAGTCACTTAACCCCAATTGCCTAAAAGAAAAAAAAGGAGATGTATGATTGGAAAAGGAAATGGGCTTATGATACAGTAAGAACAAGGCATAACATGAGGGCTACCTTGGTACTTTGTAATCTTAAAAGACCTAGAAGAAGGCCCTCCACTACATTGGTTAGATCCACTATGGAGCATTTATGGAAATCTTACAAGACAAAAAAAAAGTCTGCTTAAGTTATCATATACATTATTACGTTTTAAAGTAATTTTTTAATTTTTAATTTTAATTTAATATTTTCCCAATTGCATGTTTAAATAATTTTAACATTTTTTCAAGTTCTGCGTTCCAAATTCTCTGCCTCCCTCATTGAGAAGGCAAGCAATTTGACATAGGTCATACATGTGTAGTCTTGCAAAACATATGTCCATGTAAGTCATACCATATGCATTATTAAAGAAATGCCTACATTGAAGTGCTCCCCTGAAGGAGCAGAGAAGATGAAAGGAGGGGCATATAACCAAGGACTAATGTAAAAGAAACTGTAAGAGTAAGATCAGAGAGACTCAAGTCTAGAATTAGCTGAGACTTACAAAAAAGCACTAAGGACAACAAAAAAGGGCTTCCTTTGTTTGGAGGATAAATGATAAATCCCTCTTCTGTTTGGATTCGGGATAGGGCATGACCCGAGTGATTACACTTGGTGAACATATGTCTCGCAGTGTGATGCCTTACTTGATAATGACAGCAGATTACTGAATAATCCGATCATTATCTGTGCTGTTGGATCCATCATCACGTCTTGTACAGTCTTAACATAGTCACGGGAGATACCTCGTTGAAGGAAAAGACTTCAAGGCTGCCGTTTACTTTCCTAAGAGAGATATTTTAAAAATAAACAAGCCATCCAGTTCAATTTGGCAAATATTCATTAAGCACCTACCATCTACTGGGCACCATGGGGGGCACGGGAATACAGAGACAAAATAAGACAATTTAAACTCACTGAGCTTCTTTTCTCTTGGAAATCCCTAGGGGGGAGAAAAAGAAAGAGAAGGAACAAAGATACTTATTGCCCAGATTGTAACGTGCCTTTAAAATTGACAACCTATTGAGTTAGTCCATAAATCAATCAACAGGTATTTATTAATTACCTACTATGTTCTAGACACTGTGCTAGGGGCTGGGGGTACAAACACAGAATCAGAAAGATGCCTGCCTTCAGGGCATTTATGTTCTTCCCGAATAATCATTACTAGTATCAACCTATCATTCAGCAAGCATTCGTTAACCTCCTGCTGTGTGGTATAGGCACTACAGAGACAAAACCAAAGATGAAATAAATAGTCCCTGCTTTTAAGGAGCTTCCTTTCTGTTAGGAAAGATACATGAACACAGACAGGCACTTTGGTGTGGAGGATAGAGCACTAGGCTTGGAATAAGGTGTAAAATGTGGAGTTCAGATTCTACATTAGCTAGGTACTCAGAGGGAGACTCAACCTTTCTGTACCTCAGTTTCCTCATCTGTAACATTATGGTCTTGGACTTGATACTCTCGAAGGTTGCTTCCAATCTAACACTGTGGTCTTATGATTTTGCATATACATAAAAAATATATATACAGATTGACTTTGAAAGAGAAGCGCTAGCACCTAGCGAGAAAAAGACTTCATGTAGAAGGTATCACTTAAGCTGAATTTTTAATAGTATTTTATTTTTTTTTCCCCAATTACATGTCAAGACAATTTTTAGCATTCATTTCTTATAAGATTTTGAGTTCCAACTTTTTCTCCTTTCTTCCTCCCCTCCCCCTTCTGAAAATGGTAGGCAATTTGATATAGGTTATACATGTTTAAGCTGAATTTTTAAGGAAAGTAGGATTTCTAAGACACGGAAATAAGGAGGGAGTGAATTCTAAGAAAGTTTGGGAGTTGGAGAGGGGGGAAGGGATCCCCACCAGTACAAAGTCTTGGGGACAGGAGATAGAATGTAATATAAGTATATCTTGGACAGATGCCACAGACCTACAAAGATCTGGGCCAAGAACTGAATAGGAGGAAGATATTTGATATGTTGCATTTGGGAAATTATACTGCTCTTTCAGTAATCCCAGTATTCTAGTTGTGAAAAGCCCCCCTTTTTTAACACCAGTATTCTCTCAGTGATGCTGTAGGGTTGTTATTCATGGATCATTCTAATCTCAGAAGAATCATCAAAATTTCCCATAATAGAAAAATGCAAAGGATGATGGAAAAGCATATGATGGGTAGGAATAGGCTATACCATATTACCAACAATTGACTTGAACACATGACATGGCACTCATAACTTCATGACTGGAAAGGAGGTAGGTTTGTCATGGAATGAGAATTAGGGACTATTGATGGACAAACCAAATGTTTCAGTGGTGTCCACAAAATCTTTCTTTTTAAATCCCTCGTTGTGCATCCATTGTGTGGCACAGATCATCAATGAAGGAACTGTAGAAAGACTTACACAAGGATTGCACAGGATGGAAGAATGTGAATGGGTTGGGTTGGTTTGGGTTCCGCACGGATGAAGGCATTCCTGTGCCAATGAGATTATAGATAGGCTGAAGTACTAAAGAATAATGGATGATTCTGTTTCAGTTAAAAAGCATTCATTAAGCACCTAAATTAGCTTTTAATTTATAACCTTTTAAGAGGCTTTGTGTGAAAAACCACTTGTTTTGAGTCATAGGAACTAGGTTAAGATCCCGACTTTGTTACCTTGGGCAAGTCACAAGCTCTCTGGACCCAAATTTCTCCACCTACAAAATGAAGGGGTTATATTAGAAGAGCTCTGAGGTCCCTTTCAGCTCTCTCTGCCCTAGGAACTATGCCAGTCAGTAGAGATGTAAAAACAAGAAAAAACAGTCCCTACCCTCAAGGAGCTTACATTTCTTCAGGTGAAAAGAACAACAAAAAGATAACTCCATTTGTGGGCGGATAGTATTGTGTTGATAAATGATATAAGGAAGAGCTAGTTAGCTCTTATTTTGTTTCCATCATCCCATCAAGGAAAATCATCTTGAAATTATAAGAAAGGGAGTAGAAGAGCCTATGTCCTCACTTACCTTGTATGAAAACATAGTGATAGATGATCCAGCTACTTTAAATTAACTCCATTCCCCCCAGTGCAGGTCAGTTATGGCCAGAGTTCTGAAAGAACCCTGATTTGTAGAATTGTGGTGAATAAGAGAAATGTCACAAGACTGGAGATGGGAAAAGGTAATCCCAAAAGAGGGAAAAGGTCGATTCTGAAAATTAAAGACGAGTTAAACTAAATGTCAGTCCTTGGCAGTATTGTGCTAGATTTTAAACAGAAGCTTTGTGATTGCTTAGTAAACCCATGTTGACTCCTAATGACCAGGACTTTGTTTTATGAGAACCTTATGCTAAACTAACCTCACTTGCTGTTTTGCTAGGATATTTTGACTGATAAATAAAGGGAATGCTGTAAACATGGTTTATATGTATTTCTGTAAGGCATTTTATAAAGCTTCTCATAATATCCTTAAGAAGATGTAGTAATGTAAGTTTTAACTAGTTCAGCAACTATGCCTAAAGAGTATTGATTAATGGACTAATGTAGTGAAGGGACGAATCAGTTCCACCCCACCACCACCTCCCCCGCTGTGGATTTTCAGGAGTTGGTAGGAAGGGGACCTCAGAAACACGGTGAATACTCAGCTAGCAGAGGCTAGAACCCACTTGCTTCCATAATTGCCTTATGTTCTTTGGGATCTGATCCGCTCTGGTCTGTTCCCTGGTTCTTTTACTGTGCCCAGAGATGAACATGGATTGATAAGGCCTCTGCCAGAGTATCCTAGCCTCCCTAGTTACATGTGGAAACATGACAAGCTGCTCTAAGCATGTATACTGAGGTATGCATGTATACATGAGTGCACTGGCTCATGAGTGCCAGTTCTTAACATTTTCAGTGAACATTTAGACCTCGGAAATCCACGATGCTATACATCAGGGCTTGATTTATTATTATGTTTGATTGTCTAGACTTAATAAAGTGATGGAGAAAATGCTAACATGCAGATTAAGCTGAAAAAAGTGTGTTGTCAATGATATGTGTGTATATACACATGTATATGTGTGTGTGTGTGCATATAATTTTTTTTTCCTGGAGAGCCCATTGTTAAACTATTACCAACATACTCCCACTCTAAGCTCCAGGTCCAGTGGCATAGAAACATAAGGAAACAAAATTCATACAGATAGCTAAGCAAGACGGGAATTCCTTGATTTCATAGCTTTGAATGAATACCATCTTCCAAACACACAGTAAGCCCACAATCATCGTTTATCAAGGCATACGAAGGAGAAGAAGTTTAATCAGCAGCTCACCAGCAGAGAATTGTCTCTTCCACTGTGTTTTATTTCCTGGCTGGTAATTGGTTACCCGGGAAAGAAGAGTAAATGAAAAGTAGAACTGAAAACACATTCTATGGAAAACTTTCGCCTATGTAAGAATCATCTATTTCTGCTTATTGTCGGGTTGCATAACGGATGTGGCTCTTGCTTTTCCCATGTTGCTTTGTTTATCTTTCTTCTTCCTGCTCTGAGAAGACACTTTTGACATATGTTATCCTCCTTAGAGGCTGACATTCCACAGAGCAGTCTTTGCCCCAAGCTGAGAGTCCTAGAATTATAGCACTGGAAGGAACTTTAAAGATCACCTAGTGATTCTAAACCAATCTTACCATTTTATGATAATGAAATGAAGACCCAAATAATACAAGGGAATTTGCCTGAGTTTGGTTCAGCACTTTTGGCAAAGACTGATGAAGATACAGAATCCATACTTACCAAATTTGCAGATGATGTAAAAATGGGAGGGAGAGTTAATCCATTGAATGATAGAATCGATATTTAAAGCTACCTTGACAGACTGGGTTATAACCTGAATCTAATGAGGCGGTATTTAGTAGGAATAAACGTCAGATCCTATACTTAGGCTCACACAGTCACTTCCCAAGCACAGAACGGAGGAGACCTGGCTTAACAAAACTTCCTATGAAAAATTCAGGTTTTTGTGTTTTAAAACAGTAGTCAGTATACGACAATATGACATGGCTGCCCCCTTCCTCCTCCTACACCCCCCAAAACCTAATGCATGCTTAAGCTGTAATAATAGAAGTCCCATGCCTAGAGTGAGAGATTTAATGTTGTTGAGTTTTTTCTTTCAATTGTGTCCGACTCTTCATGACTTCATTTGGGGTTTCTTGGCAAAGATACTGGAGTAGTCTGCCTTTCCTTCTCCAGCTCATTTTACAACTGAGGAAACTGAGGCAAACAGGATTAAGTGACAGGGTTACACTATTAGTAAGGTCACATTTGAACTCAGCAAAATGAGTCTTCCCAACTCCAGGCCTGGCACTCTGTGCCCTGTGGCGCCACCTAGCTGTTCCCAAGAGAAGTTTTGCTGTGTTCTGTACCAAAAAGACTGCATCTGGAACATTATGTTCAGTTTGGGGTTCTAGATTTTAAGAGAGATATTGATATTAGATATTAGATGTTAGAGTGGGCCCAGAGGAGACTGAAAAAGATGGTGATGTATCTAGAAGCTATGTAATGTTAGGTACATTTGAAAGAATATAGGGTTAGGCTGGGGGAAAAAAAGAAAGAAAACCTAGGATGGTCAAAGCAACATTTGAAGAGCAGTGGCATAGTAACTGAAGTCAGATTTATCTAGGTATCAGGAGCCCCAGTTTCTCTTCACAAGATCTATCGTTCACTTCCTGTGTGACTTTAGGGGCAAGCCACAGAACTGAACTGAACCTCAGTTTTCTTGTCTGTAAATCAGGCATTTGACTAGATGATATATATGTTAGATCTCTCCCAGCCCTGAAGGTCTATGATTCTGTAACATGACAGATTGCTTCAGAAACTTGGAGGTGTACCATGTAGAATGGGGAGTAAATAATGTACTTACTTCATTTAACTCCAAAGGTTAGAATTAGCGTCAGTGGATTGACATGATAAGCAGGTAGATTTTTAGATCAGTATCAGGAAAAACTTATTGATTAGAAGCATCCAAAAGTGGAGTGGGCTGGCTGCCTTGTGAGGCTGTAGATGTCTTTTATCTCCTTAGTAACCTGTAAAAGCCCTTTAAGGCAGGGATTGTTATTTTTTTGTCTATGTATCTACAGTACTTAACACACTGTCTTGTACATATTAAGTCCTTAATGTTTCAAACCAGAGACTCCTTGGCCTGGGAGGAACATTGCTGTGGGATATCAGGTAATAAGTGGGAGGCTGAATTCTGGGATTTAGCATTTAACCCAATTCAACTTAATAAGCATTTGTTTGGCACTTACTATGTGCAAGGAGGCATTGTTCTGAGTGCTGAAAATACAAAAGCAAAAATTTTTCCAGAAACAGCCCCAGCCCTTGAGGAGCTTGCATTCTGCTGGGGTATAGATATGTCTACAGTGAAGTAAAAGCAGAGTAGTAGTAGTTGCTGTTGTTGTCCAGTCTTTTTAGGAATGTCCGACTCTTTATGACACGTTTTGGGGTTTTCTAGGCAAAGATACTGGAGTGGTTTGCCATTTCCATAGTGTAGTAGAAGTAGTAGTAGTAGTGGTAGTAGTAGTGGTGGTAGTAGTAGTAGTAGTAGTAGTAGTAGTAGTAGTAGTAGTATAGTTATCCCTTCCAAATCATGAGTTTCCCCATTGCAGTTTTGATATATCACAGGTCATCATAAGAAATCAAATGGGAATATTTTGGGAATTTTGCAGACGCCTCAGATGCCATGTGAAACCAGCAGATAACATAGAAAAAGTTAAGAAACTGAGAAATACTTAAATATATATATGGTATTGTATAATATCAACACATTTTATCTTTCAATACTGTAAACACCCCATAAAAGAAAAAGAAAAGTTCAGACTTCGGGTATGAAAGAGAACTTTTACACAGATTTTCCAGATCACTGGGGCACCGAATGCCTGATCCCTGTGATGTCGAAGGGTGGTGATGGCGGAGGTGGTGGTGGTGTAGTAGTAGTAGTAGTAGTAGTAGTAGTGGTGGTAGTAGTGGTAGTAACAACAGCAGCAGCAGTAGCAGCAGCATTTAGCACTTTAATATTTGTAAAGTGCTTTATCAGGATCTCATGTAATCTTCACAACAACCTTATTAGATAGGTGCTATTATTATCCTCATTTTACAGAAGAGGAAACTGAGGCTGAAAGGTTAAAGTGACTTGTCTAGGGCCACATAGCTAGTTTGTGTCTTTGGCAGGATTTGAATTCAGGTCTTCCTAACTCCAAGTCTAGCACTAGTCACTAAGAAGACTGACAACCTGGGTATATAAGAAAAATAAAATGTGTTGTGTGTAAGGGACTATAATGTGCCATGATATTCAGGAGATGGAAAGGCATATATGGGAAACAAGTGGTAGGCTAATTCGGCTGGAACAGAGAGTGTATGAAAGGGAGCAATCTGAAATAAGACAGGAAACATAAACAAGAACCAGATTGTTAGGGCCTTACATGTTAAGGTTCAGGATTTTATATACTCTTTTAATAGCAATAGGGAGCCATTGAAGATTTTGGAGTATGAGGATAGCATGATCAGACCTGTGTTTGGCAGCTATATGGTGCTAAAAGAAGGCTGAGAAAAAATGAGACACTGTCCTTGAGGTCAAGTAACTTATATAAGACTTTATAACCAAAGTAGGAGAGGCTTGACTTAGAAGTAGTATCTTCCTTTCACCTAGAATCATAAGTTTGTAGGAAGAGAGTATAGAGATCATCTCAACCAGCTCTACTCATTTTACAGACCAGAGAAGTGAAGTGATTTCCCTAAGGTGACACAGAAAGTAAGGAACTCCTAAGGTTACTTAACAGGCCTATCACAGCAGCATTTCCCCGCTTGGAATGTGTCTGAATGGGGAATTTAATTTGGATTCTATGTTACTAATTTATCTAGCCACTGGATGTCAGCACTGTTCTACCTAAAAGCTAAGTTTGTTTGTTGTCCTTTTCTCTGTGTCCTGAGATGTTAAAAAGGCCAAGGTCTCCCACTGCATCTAGGGCCATCACAAATAGTCCTGACCTGTATCTTAGCACTGGACTCCGATGACTTTGGAGGAGACAGTGAGGCAGCTCTGCCTCACTTAAATCCAGTACACTTGCA